AGTTCATTTTTTCTACAAATGGAAGGTTTGTGGCAATCACACATTGTCAGATGATGGTTGGCATTTTTTAACAATAAAGTTTTTTAAAAATTAAGGTATCTTTTTTTTTTAAGACATAATGCTATTACACACTTAACAGACTAGTATAGTGTGAACATAGCTTTTACATGTCATGTTTGAGAAACTGAGAAATCGAAATTGAGAAATCGAACAATTTATGTGACTCACTTTATTGCAATGGTCTAGAACTGAACCCACCACATCTCTGCGCTATGCCTATAATGGGCTCTTTTCCCAGAATTAAAAATGGCATTCACACAAGTCTGCAGGCAAATTCAAAGGCTTCATAGGTCCCTTGCAACCTGACCATCTACCCCAGATTAGCAAGTTGATGTGGATCAGCAGTAACATATTTACTTTATCTATGGAAATGAAATACTTGATGTCATGATTTTGAGGCTATGCAGTTAAATAACATCATTAGGGTAATGTTAGGAAAGACAGTTTTCTTTCTCTACCGTTCTCTGCCTTGAGCTGCAGGAGCCTTAAAACTGCACTCTGTATGAATGAAATACCGCACCTTCTGCATGACTTAAAGGAAGAGACAACCTCATCTCTGAATTTAAATGCCCTTAATATTTAATTCTTTCCTCTCTGTGGTTATAGCTTGCCTTCTCCACGTTATTAGGATGATGGCTTTAGAAGGCAGGCTATTGGAGATCCAGAAAACCACATATCCCAATTTAATTTCCTTGTGAAAATCAAAGAGCTCACGCTCTTGAAGAGTTGAAAGAGGCTGAAGGGTCAGGCCTCCCCCCAGGGTGCTGGCACAGGCAGTACTCCAGAAGGGTAATGTAAATACTCAGTACGAGGCAACAGGGCACACCAATTTGTTTTTCAATCTATTTTATTTCAGTTCAAAGCATCTTTGCAGACAGATAGTCCAAGAAAACAAGCCACACTTTGGTTATTCTCAGTCTTTCTCAATCCCCAAAAGCAGGTAGGTATTGCCCAAATGTGGCTTGCTACCCTGCGCTGCTTGTCTGCAGTGATGCTTTGAACTGAAATAAAATAGATTGAAAAACAAATTGGTATGCCCTGGCTTTTCCTGCAGTTTTATATTATCCTTCAAATAGTGTTACCACCTACTCTTTACTGAAACCCAACAGACCCAAATCACAGAGTAAAACTGCAAGAGTTTAAATGCGAAGGTCCCACCCAAACCTAAAATAGCAATTTAATTCAGGGCTTGTTGGTTAGCACTGCATTAACATGCCACTCTCTGTTGGGTTCCCTGCTCCATTTGCTGGGCTGGATCATATCTTCTGATGACTTAGTCAGTGTGTTTACTGGAGAGAGTTTAAAGTAAAACTTGACACTGCTGATCTTCCTATATAATCTGCTCAATTTATTACTGCCTCTGTAATTTTTCATGTTTATGAGCCCAAACATTATGTGTCTTTACCTGTGCAAAAAGTCTACCTGCTTTAAAGCATTCAACATTCTGCTTATAGTATGCAACATTATTTTGAAAGCTTTTATAGGAAACCTAAAATCATTTGCAAACAAATTCTAAAATTACCACCAACTAGAAGAAGCCTATCGTTTTCTTAGAATGAAGGAATGCAAATATTTTCAAGCTTAAAACACCAAAATGATGAAACACTCTCTACAGGCAGTTGTGTAATTTTATTAAAAAAATTAAATCCCATTTGGAAATGTTCCCCTCTTAACATAAACATTAAGAAAAAAATAAGACCTGTCCCCTCCCCCAAACATAAAAACATACACACATACACCCATGCACACACACACCCTCAAATTCAACTGTAATGCACTTCTGAATTTTTGTTCTTATTTAGCACTTTGAGTGAGCTTCTCTGGTGGCTCAGAAGGTAAAGAATCTGCCTGCAATGTAGGAGACCCTGGTTTGATCCCTGGGTCGGGAAGATCCCCTGGAGAAGGGAATGGCTAACCACGCCAGTATTCTTGCCTGGAGAATTCCATGGACAGAAGGGCCAGTGGAGTCCAGTCCATGGGATTACAAAGAGTTGGACAGGACTGAGTGACTAACACTTTCACTTTCCAGCATTTTAAGTAAGTTTCCATTTGGGGCCAAACTTGGCTACTCTAACTGGAATTCAGCAACACGTGTAACAAAAAATACACAAGAGTCCTCTGGTACCATTATCCATTACCAACATGTATCAGATAAGACGATAACTTGTAACTGGCCCAAGAGATGCTCCTTATCAGCAGGAAAGCTGGAAACAGGGCCAGGACTGCCGGCTCAGGCCTGTGAACCACAGCACCATCACCGGCTTCTTTCAGCCCTGTCCTCTCCAAGCTGCTGCCATCGCACAGTGCTTGAACTGCTGAAAAGTTCTTCCACCTCAACTCCTCCCCCTTTCCCTTCTTCTGAACTGGATCCTGGTCACCCCACAAGTTTCAGCCTAAACTACCTGGAAGAGAGACCCCTGGAGACAGGTGGGCTCCCAAGCCAGCACCGCCTTGTTCCCTTTACAGCAGCTGCCACAACTTGGAATAACTCGGCTGTTGCTTTCCTGTGTTAAGACACTGGTTTTAGGTCCATGTTTCATCCTGGTAATCACAGTCACAGTGCTGACTGGTGGACAGCAGACACTCAAATATTTGCTCAATGAATGACCTGCATTTATTTAATATTTGCCAAATGCCAGGTTGTGGGCACTGGCTAGCAGCTGGTGTAAAAACAAGCAAGGTGCAGGACCTGCCCTTGAAGACCTCCCAAGCAGTAGGAAAGATAATAAACAGATGGGAAATGCAGGGTGGTTAGTGTGATCAGTTTAAATTCAGGTCCTAGCTCCCTTAGGCATTAGCTATGTAACCTTGGACATCTCTCCTGATTCTGTTTCCTCATCTTTAAAATAGGACTATTAATTCAACCTATGCCATAGTGTTGGTGTGAGGATTAAATGATAGGCTATGGAAATAACGCACATAATGCAGTCCTTGGCACACAGGAATCACTCAATAAAAATTAACTACTAATTTTACTATAAAGATGCTATGACAGCTGTATATGAAATTATCTTTGATTACTCGTATGCCATCTGTCCAAGACTCTACAGAATTTAAATTCCATGGAAGGGCAGAGATCACGCTGATCTTGTTCACCATTGTACTTCTATTTCCAGGAGTCTGAATCATTCCTAGTATTTTGTAGACACACGACAAATACTGAATGATTAACAAATGCATGCATACAAGTATGGGGTACTCTGAGTCTACTTGTTAAGCTAGTGATGAATAGTTGGGTTTGGGAACAACTCCTATAAAAGGACAAAGTCTAAATTAGAAAGTGGGGGTGCAGCAGAAGTTTGATGATTTAGCCAAGTAAGAGGAAATTTTCATTTTGAGACTGTAATTAAAATCCACAAACCATACAAAGATTTGGCTTCCATTCCAAGGAAGAGCCAATAGTGCCAGGTTGACAGATCTGAAAGAATAAAATCCAAGCAGAATGACATGGGTCCCCAGGCAGGTGGCTCCCAGGAGCAACTTGCCAGACCCGTAATCGATTAGGCTCTAAAACAGCTTAACCTCTCAGAACCTGGGCTTTCAACTCACGCAAAACGGACACATGGACACACAAAAGTCGCTGGCACAAAATCGCTGTGCATGAATACAAACAAGCATCTGGCTTACTGCAGGTGCTCAGTAGATGGTACTGTTATTCAAAGGAGGGGAAACAATTCCACTTGGAATAATAAACCAATAAAACCAGAAGTAATGGAAACCAGAGTGTGTGGTTAATTACAGAGCTCTAGGGGTGCACAGGGCAGTTGTAACTCGAGTTTCCCACTCGGGTGAGAAGGGGCCTGAGGAGTCCCTGAGGCCTGAAGGACAGCACTGACCCAGCCTACTTGTGTCTACAGCTGGGCCTGCCACACTGCTGCGAAAAGGCAAAGACAGCGTGGGCTTTGGGGATCAAAGCGTCAGAGCCATCAGATTAAGCCTTGCAACTACTCAAATTCGCTCTTGCACGAGGAAAGCGGCCACGGACAAATATAGAAACCACGAACACGGTTGTGTTCCAAGAAAACTCCACTGATGGACACCGGAATTTGATTTCCTGTTAACTGTCACAAGTTATGTGAAATACTTTCTCCCTCAACCAGTTAAAAAAAAAAAGTAAAACCTTCTTAGCTCCCGGCAGACCAAAAAAAAAAAAAAGGGAAGGGAGGGGAGCGGCGGCTTTGGGCCAAGGCCTCAGTTTGCCGAGGCCCGGGGAGGGGTAGGGATTCTAGCGGGGGCGGGGGGAAAAAATGCGAGGAGCAGCTGCGAGAATGCCTCCGATTGCGCCGAGCTGCCGGCGATGCGGGGCGAAGGCAAGTCCCCGGCGGAGGGCGGGCCCCAAGCGGGGCCTAGGCCCGGCCGAGCATCCGGGCCGGGACCCCGGGGCATACCCCTCGGCCGGAGACGAGAGCAGAGCCTGCGCTCAGGAGTGTGGGCCGCTCCGGGGGTGCGGTAGGGGGGTTCCAAGTTCCCCCGGGGGCGGGGACAGGCGGCTGGGACACTCGGCAGGACGCAGCGGGCTTCGCCAGGCCGAAGGGTCTCTGCGCGCCCCTCATTTGGGGCGCCTCCCGGCCCTCAGCGGCAAAAGGGGTCTCCAACGCGGAGTCCCGGCCCCGTTTCTATGGTTACCTGTTCAGGACCGATTCAAACTGCCGTTCTTTATTGACAGCGCCATAGAGGACACGAACACTCCTACCCGAAGGGAACAATAAAGCTTTCTCCATTCAACAGCGCCAGATACGCCAGAGGGCGGCCATCTTGAGGCCGGCGCTGAAGGCGTGTGAAGAGCGGGAGGGGGCGGCCCGGCCTGCCTCGCGCGCCAGTCACGTGCTGGGGGAGGGGGCGGGCCTTGCGGGGGCGTGGCCTGCGTCACGCGCACGCGCGTGATCTCTACCAATGCAAACACGCTCGGACCAGCCGGTTGCTAACCCCTTCTCCGACCTCTGACCCTTGACCCTTCGCTCCCCTCCCCACACTCCCTGAGGAAATTCTAACGGGTTTCCACTATCCTGGGTGAGGCCACGCTAAGATTCTCTCATTTCAAACCACAGCAGAGAATTAGGCGCTAAAGGTTTCTTTCCACTTTTCCAAAGACAGCAAGTTCACGTGCAAGACAGAGACGTGACCCGAGCCTTGTCCCCAAACGCCTCGTCATTGGTGAAGAAGCTTGACTTGGACGTTAAGAGGCCATTGTAGGATGCATGGGTTTGGGGGTGAAGTGATAGCTTTGCTTTTGCTCTGTTTTTCTGTTGACATGCCATCGCATCCTATGCTTTCCAGTTGGGGGGAATCCTCTTGCCACCTTCCCTCAGCCGGACAGATGAAATCATATCTAAACAGTGTCAGATAAGTTAAATCACATCGATGCTGGCCCGCTGAACCCCACAATATCATTCTGTCACTGACAGCAAATTTTTCTTTCACTGCCAGTCATGCTGCTCAAATCTAGTTGTCTCAGTACAAGGCCAAGCTCCCTGTTTGGTTACAGCTGTCCATCCACAGTGTCAATATTCAGTCGTTGTGAAGGATGTCATTGTTGGACCCACTCCCATCACCTTTTTAATCATAAATTCAATCTACTGGGCAAAACTGTCATTTGTATTGTTGCTGCCATCTGGTTCATTATCTTCTACAGTCACTGTCCAGCATGCAACCTCCCCTCTCTGTGACCACAAACTTCTAACAGTTCCTGTGCGGTGTAGCAATTGGAATGTGTGCTCAGCTGTCACCCTTTCAGTTGTTTTCACCATCATTATCCCTCAGCTACTTTCCCTGCCACACAGTCAACATTTACAGACCCCAACGGGATAGGTGGGCTTCCCTGGTGGCTCAGAGAATAAGGAATCTGCTTGCAGTGCAGCCGACCCTGGTTAGATCCCTGGGTCAGGAAGATCCCCCCACCCCACACCACCGGAGAAGGGAATGGCTACCCATTCCAGTATTCTTCCTGGAGAACTCCATAGACAGAGGAGCCTGGGTGGCTATAGTCCATGAGGTTGCAAAGTGTTGGACCCGACGGAGAGGCTAACACACACAACTGGGTATACAGGGTCCTTGTTACTGCCCACTTTGTCACTTTCAGTAGTATAGTCATATGTCACTATCACATTAAGAGTCAAAGTAACTGTAGATAACAGTCACTTTTGTAGTCACTAGACTCACACCTATAGCTATTGTGTCTCCTAATTGCTTATTTTCACGATCTCTGCATTCTCCTTTGGTGGGAGCACTCAATACCACATTGTCAGATTTAACAAACACATAGAGTGGTGCTTGGTACATAGTAGGTGCTATTGAAATATTTATCTGATCAGTCGAATGTTTAAGGAGCAGTGTTATTGCCAAGGTACTATATGGAAATGTGGATGGCTTGAGGTTTATTATTCTCAAGCAACAGGAATAACTGCAGACACAATCTATGCTCCTTATTTAAGACTGAATCCTACAGAGACAAGAAGAAGAAAAAAAGAGAAGTGTGGATATGTTGAATTCCTGGGGTTATGGTTATAGGTTTTAAATAAGTTTTGTTTCTTATTTTATGGAGTATACATTTGTTGTAAAGTCTAGACAATATGGAAAGAACTCTTTTCATCTAAAGGTTTGTTTTATTTATTTTTCAAAATTTTATTGAAGAGTAGTTGATTTACAATGTTATCTTAATTTCTGCTGTACAGCAAAGAGATTCAATTATAAATATTGATGTATATTCTTTTTCATATTCTTTTCCATTTTGGTTTATTATAGGATAATGAGTACAGTTGCCCATGAGATACAATAGGGCCTTGTTATTTATCCACTCTACATGTAATAGTTTGCATCGGCTAATCCCAAACTCCCAATCCCTGCCCTTACCCCCACTCCACTGCTTGGCAACCATGAGTCTGTTCTCTATGTCCGTGAGTCTGTGAGTCTCTTTCTGTTTCTGTTTTATAAAAAGTTCATTTGTGTCATAGTTTAGATTCCACATGCAAGTGATAGCATATGGTATTTGTCTTTCTCTTTCTGACTTACTCTGCTTAGTATGATAATCTCTAGATTCATCCATGTTGCTGCAAATGGCATTATTTCATTATTTATAGTGAAGTAGTATTCCATTCGGAGAAGGCAATGGCAACCCTCTCCAGTACTCTTGCCTGGAAAATCCCATTGACGGAGGAGCCTGGTAGGCTGCAGTTCATGGGGTCGCTAAGGGTCAGACACGACTGAGAAACTTCACTTTCACTTTTCACTTTCATGCACTGGAGAAGGAAATGGCAACCCACTCCAGTGTTCTTGCCTGGAGAATCCCAGGGACGGGGAGCCTGGTGGGCTGCCATCTGTGGGGTCGCACAGAGTTGGACATGACTGAAGCGACTTAGCAGCAGCAGTATTCCATTGGATAGAGAAGGACATGGGAACCCACTCCAGTATTCTTGCTTGGAGAAGTCTTTGGACAGAGGAGCCTGGCAGGCTAGAGTCCATGGAGTGGCAAAGACCTGGACAGGACTGAGTGAGTAACACTTTCACTTTTCTTTCAGTATTCCATTGGTGTATCTGTGTGTGTGTGTGTGTGTGTGTGTGTGTGTGTACACACACATACACCACATCTTCTTTATCCATTCATCTGTCTATGGACTTGTAGATTGTTTCCATGTTTGGTTATTGTAAATGCTGCTCCTGTGAATTTAGGAGTGCATGTATGTGTGCTTAGTTGCTCAGTCGTGTCTGACTCTTTTGTGACCCCATCAGAGATGAGATGGTTGGGTGGCATCACTGACTTGATGGACATGAGTTTGAGTAAGCTCTGGGAGTTAATGATGGACAGGGAAGCCTGGCATGCTGCAGTCCATGGGATCGCAAAGAGTTGGACATGACTGAGCGACTGAACTGATAACTGATACTGATGCCATCCAACCATCTTATCCTCTGCTGCCTCCTTCTCCTCCTGCCTCCCATTTTTCCCAGCATCAGGGTCTTTTCCAATGAGTCAGCACTTTACATCAGGTGGCCAGAGTATTGGAGCTTCAACATCAGTCCTTCAGTGAATATTCAGGATTGATTTCCTTTAGGAATGACTGGTTTGATCTCTTTGCAGTCCAAGGGGCTCTCAAGAGTTTTCTCCAGCACCACAGTTTGAAAGCATCAATTTTTTAGTACTCAGCCTTCTTCATGGTCCAACTCTCACATTTGTACATGACTACAGGAAAAGTGTGAAAGTGAATGTCCCTCAGTTGTGTCTGATTCTTTGTGACCCCACTACTGGAGTGGATAGCTTTTCCCTTCTCCAGGGGATCTTCCCAACCCAGGAATCAAACCCAGGTCTCCCACATTGTAGGCAAATTCTTTACCAGCTGAGCCACAAGGCATGCCCACAGGAAGAGTGTAAAAAAATGGAAGAAAAAGTTTTGACGATATGGACCTTTGTCTGTGAAGTGATGTCTCTGCTTTTTAATATGCCATCTAGGTTGGTCATAGCTTTTCTTCCAAGAAGCAAGTGCCTTTTAATTTTGTGGCTGCAGTCACCGTCCACAGCGATTTTGGAGGCCAAGATAATAAAATCTGTCACTGTTTCAACTTTTTTCCCATCTATTTGCCATGAAGTGATGGGACCAGATGCCATGATCATGGTTTTTTGAATGTTGAGTTTTAAGCCAGCTTTTTCACTCTCCCCTTTCACTTTCTTCAAGAGGCTCTTTAGTTCCTCTTCACTTTCTGTCATTGGAATGGTATTATCTGCATATCTGAGGTTTTTGATATTTCTCTCAGCAGTCTGGATTCCAGCGTGTGATTCATCCAGCCCAGCATTTTGCATAACGTACTCTGCATCTATATTAAATAAGTGAGGTGACAATATACAGCCTTGACATACTCCTTTCCCAATTTTGAACCAGTCTGTTGTTCCATGTCCAGTTCTAACTGTTGGTTCTTGTCCTGCATACAGGTATCTCAGGAGGCAGGTGAGGTGGTCTGGTGTTCCCATCTCTTTAAGAATTTCCCACAGTTTGTCATGATCCACCCAATTAAAGGCTTTTGAGTAGTCAATGAAGCAAAAGTAGATGTTTTTCTGGAATTCCATTGCTTTTGCTATGATCCAGTAGATGCTGGCAATTTGACCTCTGGTTCCTCTGCCTTTTCTAAATTCAGTTTGTACATCTGGAAGTTCTCAGCCCACATATTGTTGAGGCCTAGCTTGAAGGATTTTGAGCATAACCCTGCTAGCATGTATAATGAGCACAATTGTATGAAAGTTTGAACATTCTTTGGCATTGCCTTTCTTTGGAATTGAAATGGAAACTGACCTTTTTCAGTCCTGTGGCCATTGCTGAGTTTTCCAAATTTGCTGTCATATTGAGTGCAGCATGTTAACAGCATCATCATTTAGGGTTTTAAATAGATCAGCTGGAATTCATATGCCTATTGGTCATCTGTTTTTTGAAGGATTGCTTTAGACATAACAATGAATGCAATTCCCCAACATACTCACACATGGTCAATGGAAAATGGCTGCAGCTCCCCCATAATTGTTCCCTTGAGCTTTTGTATTATTAGAAATTCTCATGGAAATGACTTGCCTATAGCCCATGAAGAACAGCATAAAGTTATGGAAAGCAGTGTTCCTGGCTTCTGGCCAGCCATCATGTGGGAGAAGAAGAAGCCAATGGTGGATCCTCTAAGGACCTCCTCGCTTGGGAGAGTCTCAAGAGTTTTGGAGAAATAACTTGTACTTCTCAATCACCAAAAGGACCTAGCTCTTGATCATGAGGGGGATGGTGCTTGAGGTCTCTTCACTTTCTTTTCTACCTTGACAGAAAGTGTTCCCAGGTTGATGCCTGAGCTGGCCCTGGTTAAACTGCCAACTGTCTCCAGAATGACTACTTCAGGGCAAGAACAGTGAGGTGAGTAGAACATCAGCCTTGCCCTGGTAGGAAATAACACAGCCAGGGCCACTTCTGCCACTAGTAATAGCAGTCATTATTTATCTCTCTCTGTTTGCTGCCAGTACCATGCCAAGTTCTACCTAGATTATCTCATTTCATTCCCATAGCCACCAAATGAGGTAAGTAATATCATTACCTCCTTTGATAGAGGAGAAACCAGACTCAGAGGAGGTAAATAATTTGCTCAAGGTTACACAGCGATTAATCAGTGGAGTTGAGGTTAAGGCTCTGACTCCAGAGCCTTCACTTTCCCCTGCCCCCAGAATAATGACTTGTGGGTTTTACAAAATATATGTGTTTGTTATAAAGAGTTCAAGGATTACAGAAACATATAAAGAAGAGAGTTAGAAACAGAATCACTCTAAATCCTACCACTTAGCAGTAACATATCATTATAGAAGAGTATTTCTCCATCTCTGAGCAAATATATGTAGGTAGGTAGATGGGGAGATAATGATGGTAATAAGGACAGTTTCCTTTCAATAAGCACCATGAGCTGGACACTGTTCCAAGTGCTTTCTGTGAATTAGCACATTTAATTTACTCAGAGAGAGATGGATAGACATAATTTTATTAAAATGAGCTCATTTAACATATTCAGAGTTCATATCAGCAGCCAACCACCTGGTGATGTTTTTCCCCAAATCTGGTTCTTTCCTCAGTCTTCGCTCCGCCTTCCAATCAAATCTTAAGCCCAGAGTCCTTGGGCTGCAAAAGCTATGTCTTTAAATAGCACTCTCCGCACAGCTGCCGCCTGGTCAAATGTCTTTGCTGTTCCCCAAGGCGGTGGTGTTATTTGTAGAAGTGAAGTTTGCTAGAGGCTCAGCATATGCTTTTTATCTGCTAGAGTAGGTATCTGGGCCTTAGCCTTCTTTTCCCTGGCTTTCTAAGTGTTAGAATTCCACTAACCCTTTTCTCCAATCCAAATGAAGCTTGTCTTCAGATCTTGCCCAGTGGAGGCCAGAGAGTCTCAGATGAGGATGCTGTTGGAATTTGCCAAATGACTCAGAAAGGTCAGCTTGCTCATCCATCCGAGATGACAAAAAAACCAAGAGAAGGGAGAGACTACCTCACTCCAAAGGGGCTCCCAGCCAATAAGGGTACTTCTGTGGGGTCTGGTCTTCTTATATCTTATATCGTGAATCTCAATTTCTCCTGAGACAAGAGGCGTTGTTGCATTCAGACTGACGGGATCAACATGTTTGGAGATGGCTCACAGGCCCATCGTATCCATCTAATCCAAAACAGAGGCTGTAATTTTCCAGCCCAGTCTGCTTCTCCCCTGCAGCTCCCGAGCTCAGAGAGAACAGCCCACCCACCACTCTCTACCTGATTGCTCAGGTTAGACAGTTGGGAATTGTCCTTGACATGTCTGTCACTCACCCTCAACTAGTCACCAAGTCTTGTTGATTTTACCTCTAAATATACTCTGTTTCCATGGCCAGAGTTTGAATGGCTTTTATCTCTCACCTATCCTCCTCCTGCAGTTTTTTTTTTTAATTATCCTTTGTTCTGCAGACAGGACAGTGTAATATGTCATCTCATCTAGAGTCGACTTTTTAAAATATAATTTACATAAAAGAAAAAGTATACTCCCTTAAAGTGCGTGCATGTGTGCCTGCTAAGTTGCTCCAGGTGTGTCCGACTCTTTGTGACCCCATGGACTATAGCCTGCATGGGATTCTCCAGGCAAGAATACTGAAGTGGGTTGCCATTCCCTTCTCCACATTTAAAGTGGCATTTTGGAAAGTACATACACCCATGTAACCACCACCATATCAAGATATAGAATATTTTTATTTTTAAGAGCAGTTTTAGGTTCACAGCAAAATTGAGAGGAAAGTATATAAATTTCCAGTGTTCCCCTATCCCCACACATGCATAGCCTCTCCTACCATCAGCATCTCCCACCAGAGCAGAGCATCTGTTACACTTGATATACCTACATTCACAGATCCTTATCACCTAAAGTTTATATTAGGGTTCACTCTTGGTGTTGTACGTTCTGTGGATTTGCTCAAATGTATAACATGTATCCTACTCCAAGGGATCTTCCTGACCCAGGGATTGACTACTCCAGTACTCTTGCCTGGAAAATCCCATGAACAGAGGAGTCTGGCAGGCTCTAATCCATGAGGTCGCAAAGAGTCAGACATGACTTAGGGACTGAACAAGAACAACAGCATAACATGTATGCACCACTATAGCATTATACACAGTAGTTTTGCTGCTCTGAAACACATTTGCTGTATTCTTGAAACTAACACAATATTGTTAATTACCTATACTTCAATATAAAATAAAAAGTAAAAAAAAAAAACGCAAATGTTGCTTAGTTGCTAAGTCGTATCCAACTCTTTTGAGATCCCATGGACTGTAACCAGCCAGGCTCCTCTGTCCATGGGATTTCCCGGGCAAGAAAACTGGAATGGGTTGCCATTTCCTCCTCCAGGGGATCCTTCCTCCTCCACTGGATCTCAGTGACCCAGGGATTGAATCTGGGTCTCCTATGTTGGCAGGCAGGTGGATTCTTTACCACTGAGCCACCAGGGATCACTTATACCCCATTATAAAATAAAAAGTTTTAAAAAGCCCATAAATATATATACTGTTAATAGGATTTTCTTCAAGGGAGGGAATTTAATTGCTGGAAACAGGGAAAGAGACAGTTTTTCCTATAAACTACTTGGTAGCTTTTGAATTTTGAACTATTAGCATATATTTCCTATTCAAAAATTATTATAAAAATGAACATTTGTAAACCCATCAAACTGCTTGACATCTGTATATAAGGCAGAGCCTGAGATTTGCAGATGGCTTTTCACCTTTCTGCTATATATTTGGTGATGATTGAGTTTTTCTAATAAATGTGCTCATATGCTGTTTATAATTTAAAAATTAAAGCTTAAAAAAATCACTTGAAAAATAAATAAGTCCTCTGTGTTCTCCCTATTCATCCTCCCTGCCCCCAGACCCCTGGAGGTCACTGCCCTTTTGAGTCTCCATAGTTGTTCCTTTTCCAGAGTGTTACATAGTTGGAATTATACAGTATATAACCTTTTAAGATTGGCTGCTTTCTCTTAGGGCTTCCCTTGTGGCTCAGCTGGTAAAGAACCTGCCCACAATGTGGGAGACCTGGGTCCAATCCCTGGGTTGGGAAGATCCCCTGTAGAAGGGAAAGGCTACCCAGTCCAGTATTCTGCCCTGGAGAATTCCATGGACCATATATAGTCCAAGAGGTCGCGAACAGACAAAACTGAGCAACTTTCACTTTTACTTTCTTTCACTTAGTAATATACATTTAAGTTTCTTTTATATCTTTTCATGGCTTGTTATCTTATTTCTTTTTAGCACTGAATAATATTCCACCCTCTGAATGTACCACAGTTTACTCATCCATTCACCCATTGAAAGACGTCTTGGTTGCTTCCAAGTTTTGACAATTATGAATAGAGGCATTATACACATCTGTGTGCAAGCTCTTGTGTGGCCAGAACTTTTCAGTTTGTTTGGGTTAATACCAAGGAGCACAATTATTGGGTCACATAAGAAAAATATGTTTAGTTTTGTAAGAAACTGCCGAATTATTTTCCGAAGTAGCTGTACCACTTTGAATTCCACCAGCAGGGCGTGAGGGTTCCCACAGCTCCACATTCTTACCAGCATTTAGTGTTGTCAGTGTTCTGAATTTTGGCCATTCTAGGAGGTATATAGCAGTATCTTATTGTTTTAATGTGCATTTCCCTGATGATATATGTTGTGGAGTATCTTTTAGTATGCTTACTTGCCATCTGTTTATCCTCTTTGGAGAGGGATCTATTAAGGTCTTTGGTCTATTTTAAAATCAGGTTGTTTGTTTCCTTATTGTTGAGTTTTAAGAGTTCTTTGTATGATTTGAATAATAGTCCTTTTCAGGTATGTCTTGTGCAAATATTTTCTCCCAGTCTGTGGCTTGTCTTCTCAGTCTCTTAACATAATGTTTCGCAGAACCAAAAAGTTTAATTATAATAAGCCAGCTTGATTCTTTCTTTCATGAATTCTGCCTTTGGTTTGTATCCAAAAAAGTCATCACTATAGCCAAGATTATCTAGATTTTCTCCTATGTTATTGTCTAGGAGCTTTGCATTTTACATTTCTGTCTGTGATCCATTTTGAATTAATTTTATGAAAAGTAAGGTCTGTGTCTAGGTTCATTTATTTGCATGTGAATGTCCAGTTGTTCAGTGTTATTTGTTAAAACCTTTTTACTCCATTGTATTACCTTTGCTACTTTTGTCAAATATCAGTTGACTTTATACGGGTTTATTTCTAGGCTCTTTATTCTGTTCCATTGATTTATTCTTTTGCTTATACCACAGTCTTGATTTCCATAGCTTTATAGTAAATATTGAAGTTGGGTAGTGTCAGTCCTCCAACTTTGTCCTTCTCCTTCAATATTGTGTTGGTTATTGGGTCTCTTGCCTCTCCATAAAAACTTTATAATCAGTTTGTCAAAATCCACAAAATTATTTACTGAGATTTTCCTTGAGATTGCATAAAGTATATAGATCAAGTTTGAAAGAACTGATATCTTGACACTATTAGGTCTTCATATCCATGAACATGGGATGAAAGGGAAAGTGTTAGTTGCTCAGTCAAGTCTGACTCTTTGCCACCCCATGGATTGTAGCCCACCAGGTTCCTCTGTCCATGGAATTCTCCAGGCAAGAATACTGGAGTGGATTGCCATTCCCTTCTCTAGGGGATCTTCATAACCCAGGGATCGAATCTGGGTCTCCTGCACTGCAGGCAGATTCTTTACCGTCTGAGCCAGCAGGAAGCCCCATGGCTCTCCATTTATTTAGTTTTATGATTTCTTTTTACCAGAATCTTGTAGCTTTCTTCATAAAAATCTTAAACATATCCTGTTTGGTTTATACTTAAGTATTTAATCTTGTGGGGTGTTAAGATAAGTAGTATTGCATTTTTAATTTCAAAACTTACTTGTCATTGATGGCATGTTGTAAAGTATTGACATTTTAATGTTAACTTTGTATCATTCAACCTTACCATAATTGCTTCTTAGTTCTAGGAAGTTTTTATTGGTTTGTTCTTTCTGAGTTTCTCAACAGATAGTCATGCCACCTGTAAATAAAGATAGATTTATCTCTTTCTTTGACAAAATTCTTGCATCTCATTTTAACATCAGGTAGTTACTATTATTATTTTGCTATTGAGTTGTATGGGCCTCCCTGATAGCTCAGTAATTAACCCTTTATCAGATATATGGTTTGCAAACGTTTTCTCCCATTCTGCAGAATTGATTGTCTTTTACTGTTAATTTTTCTTTTGCTCTGCAGAGCTTTTAGTTTGATAGAATCCTACATGTGCACTTTCACTTTTGTTGTCTGTGCTTTTGGTGTCATATCCAAGAAATCGTTGCTAAGATCAATTTCAAGAAAAATTTTTTCCTATGTTTTTCTTTTTTCCTAGGAGTTTCATAGTTTGGGGTCTTTAAGTCTTGAATTCATTTTTAGTTGGGTTTTTTATATGGTGTAAGACAGGATTCAGTTTCATTCTTTTACATGTGAATATCCAGTTTGTCCAACATCACTTGTTGGAGAGATTATCATTTATAGACTCAATTCTGTTTCATTTGTCTGTGTCTTTTTTAATGCCACTACCATACTGTTTGATTACTGTAGCTTTGAAATATATTAATATTTTGAAATTAGGAAGTGTAAGACCTCAAGTTTTGTTCTTCTTGCCCAAAATCGCTTTTGGTCTTTGAAGACTTTCGTGGTTCTATATGAATTTTAGGATTGTTTCTCTATTCCTGAAAAAAATGCCATTGAAATTTTGAAAATGGTTGCATTGAACCTGTAGATTATCTTAAATAATATGGACGTTTTAATGATATTAATTCTTCCATTCCGTGTACACAAGATGTGTTTCCATTTATTTGTGTCTGCTTTCTTTCATCAATGTTTTATAGTTTTCAGTGACAAGTCTTTCATCTTGGTGAAAGTTATTCCTAAGCATTTTATTTTTTTGATGCCATTGTAAATGAGATTGTTTTCTTAATTACCTTTTTAAATAGTTTCTTGTTAGTATTTAGAAGCACACTGATTTTTGTGTATTGTTATGATATCTTTTAATTGGTGTATTTAGTTGGTATTCAAAGTGATTATTATGTAATGGAATTAATAGCTTTCACATTTGTCACTATTTTCTATTTGTTTTCCTTTTTTTGTTCCTAATTTTGTCTTCTACACCTTTGTATTCTTTTGTTTTAATCAAGCATTTTATATTATTCCACTTTCTCTTCTTTTTTAGTGTATCAGTTAGACTTATTTTCCTTTCATTAGTAGTTGCCTTAGATTTGCAAAATACATTTATAACTAATTCAAGTCTATTTTCAAACACTATAACACTTCACAAGTAGTGTCAATACATTATAAGAACAAAATAATTTTAATTCCTCCTTCCTATTCCTTGTATCATTGCTATCATTCATTTCCTTGAAACATAAACATACATGAATATATCCTTGTATTTTCTGAAAGTGAAAGTGAAGTCACTCAGTCATGTCTGACTCTTTGCACTCCCATGGACTGTAGCTTACCAGGCTCCTCCATCCATGGGATTTTCCAGGCAAGAGTCCTGGAGTGGGTTGCCATTCCCTTCTGCAGAGGATCTTCCTGACCCAGGGATCGAACTCCTGTCTCACACATTGTAGACAGATGCTTTACTGTCTGAGCCACAAGGGGACTTTATATACTTATAAAATCAAGCAGATATTATCATTTTGAACAAACTGTTACCTGTTAGCTCAATATGAATAAGAAAAATAAAAATTTTATTTTATCCACACTTATTTCTTCTTCTTTTATGCTCTTTCTGGGCACAAAAGATACAGTTTTCTGATCTATATATTTTTCCTCTTCTCTAAAGAACTTTTAGCATTTCTTGCAAGGCAGTTCTGTTGGCAACCAGTTCCTTAAATTTTTCTTGTCTGAGAAGTCTTTAATTCCTCTTCACTTACAGAGGATAATTTTGAAGGATACCTGCTTCTAGCTTTGTGGGTTTCTCCTGTTAACACTTTATAAAGATTTCATTCATTCTCTTTTTGCTAGCACATTTTCTGAGAAGTATGATGAAATTCTTATCTTTGCTCCTCTGTAAGTAAGGTGGGTTTTTTTTCCTCTCTTCTTTCAAAAATATTTTGTTTATAGTTAATTTTATGAAGTTTGAATACAGTATGGATTGTGGATTATTTTTTTCATATTTATCATGCTGGCATTCTTTTAGATTTTGGATGTGCAGTTTGTTATCTGTCATTAACTGGCGGAAATATTCTCATTATAGCTTCAAATATTGCTTTGAAACAAGTAACAACTTTTTCTGCTTTTCCTTCTAGTATTTCCATTATTTATCTGTTACTCCTTTTGCAGTTGTTCCACAGATCTTATATATTCTAGGGATTTTTTTCTTTATGTTTTTCAGTTCTGGAGGTTTCCATTGAGATCAAACCAGTCAATCCTAAGGGAAATCAACCCTGAATACCCATTGAAAGGACTGATGCTCAAGCTGAAGCTCCAGTACTTTGGAGCTAATACAAACAGCCACCTAATACAAACAGCCAAATCATTGGAAAAGACCCTGGTGCTGGGAAACATTGAAGACAGAAGGAGAAGAGGGTGATAGAGGATGAGATGGTTGATGTCATCACTGATGCAATGGACATGAACTTGGACAAACTCTGGGAGATGGTGAGGGACAGAGAAGCCTGGTGTGCTGCAGTCCATGGGGTCTTGAAGAGTTGGACATGAACTGGTGGCTGAACAACAACAACATACCCTATGCCTAGTGTTGTTTATCTGAAATTCAAATTGAACAGGGATCCTGTATTTTTATTTATTAAATCTGGCAATACTTTGGCCACCTGATGCAAAGAACCTGCTCATTGGAAAAGACCCCGATGCTGGGAAAGATTGAGGGCAAGAGAAGAAGAGGGCGACAAGAGGATAGATGGTTGGATGGCATCATCGACTCAATGGACAAGACTTTGAGCAAATTCCAGGAGACACTGAGGGACAGGGAAACCTGGCAGGCTACAATCTGTGGGGTTGCAAAAAGTTGGACCTGACTGAGCAACTGAACAACAACAACAGCCTCTAGATCAGAATTTCTTTCCTCAGCCACGTCCATTCAACTCATACGCCCATATCAAAGGCATTCTTCATTTCATTGTTTTTGTTCTCTAGCATTTTGGGCTTTCTTTCTTATAATTTCCATCTCTATTTGCGTTGCTAATCTGTTCTCACATGCTGCCTACTTTATTCATTGAGCCCTTCGCATTTTAGTCATAGTTGTTTAAAACTCTCAGTCTGGTAATTCCAATGTCTCTGGCATATGTAACTCTGTTTTTTTTCTTTTCACTTTTATTTTTTGGCTGCACCAAATGGCATGCAGGATCTTTGTTCCCTGACCAGGGATCAAACCCATGCCCCCTGCAGCAGAAGCATAGAGTCTTAACCACTGGGCTGCCAGGGAAGTCCCTCTAACTCTTGGTGCTTGCTTCTCTCTCTTTTTTTTTTTTTTAATTAACTTATTTTTTATTGAAAGATAATTGCTTTACAGAATTTTGCTGTTTTCTGTCAAACCTCAACATGAATCAGCCATAGGTATACATATATCCCCTCCCCTTTGAAATTCCCTCCCATCTCCCTCCCCATACCACTCCTCTAGGTTTTTACAGAGCCCTTGTTTGAGTTTCCTGAGCCATACAGCTTGCTTCTCTCATAAAGTTATGGGTTTTGCCTTTTGTTATGCCTTGTAATCTTTTTGTTGAAAGGTGGAAATGATGTACTAGGTAAAAGGAATTGCTGAGAATAGACCTTTAGTGATGGGGTGGTAAGGCATAGGGGGAGGGAAAGTATTTTGTAGACCTATGACTAGATCTCAGATTTTTGGTGAGCCTGTGTCTTTGGACTATGAACTTCACCAGTGCTTCTCATCCCCAAACCCCCTTATGTGGGATTGGCAAAAGTGAGATTGGTAAGAGTGAGCTAGAATTGTGTATTTACCTTCACCCATGGCTGTTAGACTGTGATAGAACCCTGCAGGTTAGACTCTGGTTCAGTGGTTTCCTGTGAAGGAAGGCCTTATTCTTAAAAATAAAATAAAATAAAATGCTCTGGTGTACTCCAAAATGGTTCCTTTCCTCCTCCTGATGCCAGAAGGACTAGGGGATTTCTCTGTGATACTCACTGAGAATTCGAGGAGATAAAACTCAAAAAAGTGTGTTGCTTCCCCCTTCACCCCACCCCCTCCACCCCCATCTATTACTGGGTCCCTCTGTAGTTTTTAACTTTCAGATTTATCCACAAGAAATCCATCAATTTCAATTTAGTTTTCCTATTCTGGTACTGGTTCCCATGGAGGTTTCTGTTGCTCTGTGACCTCACTTCTCTGATGAATCTAAGGAGAGTTATAGATCTTTCAGTTTGTTCAGGTTTTTACTTCATGTTAGAATGGAGTGGTAACCTCCAAGCTTCTTACATGGCAGACTAGAAACCAGAGGTTCTAGAATATGTTTCAGTTCAGTTCAGTAACTCGGTCATGTCCAACTCTTTGTGACCCCATGAATCGCAGCACACCAGGCCTCCCTGTCCATCACCAACTCCCGGAGTTCACCCAAATCCATGTCCATTGAGTTTGTGATGCCATTCAACCATCTCATCCTCTGTCATCCCCTTCTCCTCCTGCCCTCTATCTTTCCCAGCATCAGAGTCTTTTCAAATGAGTCAGCTCTTCACATCAGGTGACCAAAGTATTGGAGTTTCAACTTCAACATCAGTCCTTCTAATGAACACCCAGGACTGATCTCCTTTAGGATTGACTGGTTTGATCTCCTTGCAGTCCAAGGGACTCTCAAGAGTCTTCTCCAATACCACAGTTCAAAAGCATCAGTTCTTCGGCACTCAGCTTTCTTTATAGTCCAACTCTCACATCCATACATGATCACTGGAAAAGCCATAGCCTTGACTGATGAACCTTTGTTGGCAAAGTAATGTCTCTGCTTTTTAATATGCTGTGTAGGTTGATCATAACTTTCCTTCCAAGGAGCAAGCATTTTTTAATTTCATGGCTGCAGTCACCATCTGCAGTGATTTTGGAGCCCAGAAAAATAAAGTCAGCCACTGTTTCCACTGTTTCCCCATCTATTTGCATGAAATGATGGGACTGGATGCCATGATCTTAGTTTTCTGAATGTTGAGCTTTAAGTCAACTTTTCACTCTCCTCTTTCACTTTCATCAAGAGGCTCTTTACTTCCTCTTTACTTTCTGTCATAAGGGTGGTGTCATCTGCATATCTGAGGTTATTGATATTTCTCCCAGCAATCTTGATTCCAGCTTGTGCTTCTTCCAGCCCAGCATTTCTCATGATGTACTCTGCATATAAGTTAAATAAGCAGGGTGACAATATACAGCCTTGATCACCTGAAAAAGTTCTCTTGTGCCCCTTCCTAGTTCAACTCCCTTTCCCCCTCCCACTCCCCAAATAACACTGATCTACGTTCTGTCCATATAGATGACTTTTGACTGTCCTAGAATTTCATATATTGAAATTATGCAATAGTATTTTTTTCCTGGCTTCTTTCATTCCGTGTAATTAGTTGATTTTCATCTGTGTTGTTGCATTTATTAGTGCTTTTCTCTTTTTCACAGCTGTACTCATGGTTATAGATATCAGTTCAGTTCAGTTGCTCAGCTGTGTCCGACTCTTTGCCACCCCAAGGACTGCAGCATGCCAGGCTTCCCTGTCCATCACCAACTCCCGGAGCTTGCTCAAACTCATGTCCATCAAGTTGGTGATGCCATCTAACCATCTTATCCTCTGTCATCCCCTTCTCCTCCTGCTTTCTTTCCCAGCATCAGGGTCTTTTCCAGTGAGTCAGTTCTTCACATCAGGTGGCCAGAGTATTGGAGCTTCAGCTTCAGGATCAGTCCTTCCAATGAATGTTCAGGATTGATTTCGTTTAGGATTGACTGGTTGGATCTCCTTTCAGGCCAAAGGATTCTCAAGAATCTTCTCCAACACCACAGTTCAAAAGCATCAATTCTTACGCACTCAGATTTCTTTATAGTCCAACTGTCACATCCATACAGGACCACTGGAAAAACGATAGCTTTGACTAGATGGACCTTTGTCAGCAAAGTAATGTGTCTGCTTTTAATATGCTGTCTAGGTTGGTTATAGCTTTTCTTCCAAGGAACAAGTGTAAAAATTTCATGGCTGCAATCACCATCTGCAGTGATTTTGGAGCCCCCCAAAATAAAGTCTCTCACTGTTTCCACAAACTGCAGAACAATTACACCAAATAAATTCTCACACTGGTAAGAAAGCTCTGCGACCCACGACAGATTTCCCAACCTAGGGGTCTGGCAAAGAGATTGAGAACCCCCATGGAATTTGACTTTGGAGGCCAGTGGAATTTGATTACAGAACTTACACAGGATGGGGGAAACAGACTCTTGGAGGGCACAAAGAAACCTTGTGTGCACCAGGACCCGGGAGAAAGGAGCAGTGACCCCACAAGAGACTGACCCAGACTTGCCTGTGAGTGTCCAGGAGTCTGCAGCAGAGGCGTGGGTTGGCGGTGGCCTGCTGCAGGGTCTGGGGCACTGAGTGCAGCAGTGTGAGCACGGGACCTTTTGAAGGAGGTCGCTGTCATCTTCATTAACTTCACCATAGTTTGGCCTCAGGTCAAACAAGAGGGAGGGAACACAGCCCCACTCATCAACTGAAAATTGAATTAAAGATTTACTGAGCATAGCCCTGCCCATCAGAATAAGACCCGGTTTGCCCCACAGTCAGTCTCTCCCATCAGGAAGCTTCCATAAACCTCTTATCCTTATCAGTCAGAGGGCAGACAGAAAACCACAATCACAGAAAACTAGTCAAACTGATCACATGGACCACAGCCTTGTCCAACTCAATGAAACCATGATCCATGCCGTGCAGGGCCACCAAAGATGGACAGGTCCTGGTGAAGAGTTCTGACAAGACATGGTCCACTGGAGAAGGGAATAGCAAACCACTTCAGTATTCTTACTATGAGAATCCCATGAACAGTATAAAAAGGCAAAAACATAGGATACTGAGAGATGAATGCCCCAGGTTTGGTAGGTGCCCAGTTATGCTACTGGAGAAGAGTGGAGAAATAACTCCAGAAAGAATCAGGAGACAGAGCCAAAGTGAAAACAACACCCAGTTGTGGATGTGACTGGTGATGGAAGTAAAGTCTGATGCTGTAAAGAACAATATTACATAGAAACCTGGAATGTTAGGTCCATGAATCAAGGTAAATTGGAAGTGGTCAAGCAGGAGATGGCAAGAGTGAACATCAACATTTTAGGAATCAGCAAACTAAAATGGACTGGAATTGGTGAATTTAATTCAGATGACCATTGTATCTACTACTGTGGGCAAGAATACCTTAGAAGAAATGGAATAGCCCTCATAGTCA